CTGCATTGATTGTTATTATTAGCTTTGACGAGAAAATTATACGATCTAGAAATTGGTATTGTCCTCTCTCTTTTTTTCTCTCTCATAGAATATCATATATATTATTATGTCATCTTCATTATTAGCACATCTATACATAATTAAAGAAAATAAATAACACTATTTTGTGAAATAAAGCTTATTTTAAAAAGCTATAAATTCTCTTTCTCTCTCTCTTCCTCATAAAAATTTAAAATAATTTAGAATTTATTTTATCAATTATTTTGACCGATATGATAACATGTTTTTATTATAAAAGGGCGAGATAAAGAACAAAAGTTGAAGTAGCGTTTGCATAATATATGAAGAACAGTGATTAGAACATTCGTGTAGCGCGACGAAGAATCGCTCGTAAATCTATCAAGAGAACGCGACAATTGCTTGGTTGCAGCCGACCGATGCAAGACATATAGAACACTGCAATACGGATTGCGCTGCAGTTAGTTTGGTGTTCGCGTGATCCTATCAAGGAGCGTATCGCTTCACGTCGATAATTAATTACATCTGACGATACCAGGCACGAGAAGGCAATTGATCAAGTTGCTTCAATGTTTATGTTATAAGGATCAATTATGTCTAATTACATGTATATATGTTATTATTATCCGATAATTTAATAAGTTAATATTTTACCAAGTAAATGTAAAAAATATGTGAAAGAGAGATTCGTATCTTATAAAAAGAATTTAAAAAATCGCTAATATTAAATCAAACTATATACAATTAAAATATGATTTTGCTATCTATTATATCATATATCTTCCCATAGCTAAATTTTTATGAAAACTTTACTTCGAATCTATTATTTTTAATGTTAAATAATTTTATATCTTTTTATAACATTTTTTAGTACCAAAAGATAATGCACCACTTTATAGATAGCTCGTAAAAAAAATAAATTGAGTATCGTCTAATATTTCTTATTAATTAATAAATAACATTAATATTTCTTTATTTCGCAGACGTGGACGAGTGCGCGATAGAAAAACCGTGCGGACAACTTTGTATAAACGTACCCGGTAGCTATCGATGTCATTGTAGAACCGGGTTTCAACTTCAACAAGATGGCCAATCCTGTCGGAGGAATGGTGAGTATGCAAAACGCGAAATTCAAAATAAAATTTTACCAAGAATAACTTTGAGAAAATATGCCTATTTTTTTTATAGATACTGATGAAAACGCCTTTGAAGCCCGCGACTTGGAAAACGATTTTCACGACGTGTTGACAACAAAAGATCCGATGTCTTCTCATGGTATGTATATATGTATAATTCAATCTTAAAATTTAATAGTATTAATTTTTATTTTTCTATCTATTAACTTCCTCTTTATAGATACAGAAAACGAGGTGAGCGATGATGACCAAGATTACGAGATCATCTTAAAGAGATTAACTAAACTCGAAAAGGTAAGTTAAATACTTATCAACAAATTCGTAAATAATAAAAAAAAAACATATTAAAACTCTTTAGCAAGTGGCCAAAAACAGAAAGAGAGATACGGAGGCTTCCGAGATGAACACCAAAGTCACATTAGCAATCGACAGCATCAACGAGATGAAGATAACTGTCGAGAACGTGGTATATATTTGAGATACATTAAAATATTATACATTCGAATCTCTCGATATAACGCATGACAGAAATCTCGCAAATAATTTCGCGTAATTAAATTTTACTGCATAAATAAAGGCGCAAAAATATATGTATATTTATTTATACTTTTTATCTCCTTAACTTTTAGATTTAGTTTTATTATTATCCTACACAACGATAATACATATAATTGAAAATCGCGAGCAATTATTTACTTTTAGATTTATATATCTGCTACTTAGATTATCTAGTAAGACATATATATATAATATGCATTTATAGTTATTTCTAAAAGAATAAAAGAACACATCATGATCGATGATTATCAATGAGAGAGAAAATATAATCTCGATTTACTAAACTTTTTGTTAATCTCCAATTTATTTAGAATTTGTTAATAAAGAAAGATAAAATTTTTATCTTTACTTTCTTTACAGTCTTATAAAAGAAACAAATATCAGAGTGATAAAGGAATAAAAAAAAAACAGAGGAATATATGATTCAATATAGTACAATTTCGGTTTGCTGCGTTATTTCTTATTTCGAGCTATATCGAGATCAAAGTGTATTAGTAAAAACATATTCTTTACATTATTTATGAATACGATAACACGATTTGTTTCAGCAACTAATGCAACAGGAAGTATATGATATGAGAAGCAAAATGAAACAGTACGAGGCAGAAGTGAGAAAAATACATCATCTGATGAATCGCGTCGCGGAATTAGAAAATCGTCTGAGAATACGCTGCAGATCAGCGATACCAATAAATAGCGGGTCGTTGAACTTTTAGCATTGCTACAGCGTCATTCTATTATCAGTACTATTTAATACTAATAACGGATAGTAGTATTTTTACCATAAAGTTTCTGCGCCGTCGGAATGTTATGCAAAGACGCGATTAATATTTTTAAATAGAAGATATAGAAAAAAATGCTGTATATTCAAGAACAGAACATTTATTTATTCTCAAGCCATAGAATGACATTGGTCGCTTTTATCTCAAAATGTTGACATAATTTTAGTCATACATTTTACACGGAATTTTCCTACCGTGAAATAATACCACTGCCATAATTTAATATTTGTTACATCTTGCAGACTAGTAACAATAGTAGTGTATAATTTAAATATGTTTATTTGTACTCAACTTTTATATATGTATAATAAAACAATGTGGATTTGTATTTGAAATCTTTTAATTTAAATTTTGAAAAAGATGGAAATGGTGTATCATATGACATTAAAAGAACAAGTGTATTTTTAATTCAAAGTTATATAAACAATTAAAATTGCCAAAAAAAGAATGATTTTATATAACCCGTAATCAAAATTCAGAAAAATTTTACTCAGCATAAAAAGCATCATAATCAAAATATAGTTAAATATATGTGAAAGAATATGTAATAAAAAGTTACTCAGATATGTTAATCTATGACAAACCAGTTGAAAAAAAGGAACATAAAAATAAAAAAGGTAGTTTTATCATGATTTTGTAACATCCGCTCTTTTAGATTCAACAAACATGATAGGGTATAATACTTAGTTAATTAAGTATTTATAGAAAATAAAAAAAAACAAATTTTATAATATTTAAAAGTTTATAAACACCATGAAAAAATTAACTTTACAATTTATGGAGAAAGATTTAATCTTTCTTTTGTTCAATTGCCTTCTTCTGTCGTCTGGTGAGTCTTTTGCTTGATATTTTGCTGGCTTTCTGCATTTTTGCTCTACCTTTTTTATGTTTGAGTATCTTTCGTTTATTCATCCATACAGGATAATTACCGTATTGATCACGCAATGTTTTCTTATTATATACTCTAGCACCTTCTACTTCCATCTGTTCTTGATCTGTGGTTACATCGCTTTTTATATCATTAGCTTTAGCTTTAGCCTTGTCTTCTTTGATTTTTTTTGCGTCAACAACTACAATATAAAAGATTATCATGTGTTACATTATCTATTACATTATATATGATATTATAATATTTATTATAATTGTGTTATTATATAATATATATTTATATTATGATTATTATAAATATCTTTATTGCCTTTAATGCGTTGATGCAAATGTGAAATCATACCTGTAGCGATTTCTTGAATATCTGTCATTTCAATATCTTTAGATGCATTTTCATCAATACCAAGAGTTTTCTTCAATCTATCTAATTCCTTTGCCGCATAACGTTCTCTCTTTACTGCCCTGCATTTTCTTCTCCATTTACTACGCAACGACTTAGCCATTTTTCACACGTGCGTTGTATGTATACGTTTGAGTAAAATATGAAAAAGGTTATGTTCCGATTTCCGGTCGGTCACGAGTCACGAAACATAGAGAGATATCTGCCAGAGAGAGAGAGGCCACGCCGCCGTTTTTCGTGAAACCGTTTTTCTAGCTAGTACAGTGGCGCTAACTAGATCCATTTTAAAGCAGGCGAAACTACATGGCCAGATCTACTTCTTGATGCCATGGTAAAACGACGGGTTGGTGTATGTCCGTGCTAAATAAAGTACATTGTGGATCAAAAATGCAGAGAAATATTATGGATTTATTAATGTTTTATTAGTTGCGCGTGATGTTTTGTCATTCTAGTATATACTACAGTGATAATAAATTATAATTTAAGTATTTTTATATGCGCATGTAAAATGAAATAAAAAATTTTCTTAAATAAATTTTCTTAATAATTTTTTTCCTAATTTTTGAAAATGTATAAAAGATATTTACAATAAATTGCTTTCACTTTTTCCTTATTCTTGAAAAGTATTGAGCATTTTAAACATTATCACATTATCAACATTTTCTCAAGACATTTAGATATGAATTTATACGATATTAATTTCAAAAACGACTAAAACTCCCTTTTCTCTATTATTATCTTTTTCATTTTATTTAAAAATATTAATATAAAAAATATAACTACAGTATCTCTCTTAGTCTGACTCTTCCCCTTCGACCTGTCCGGCATGGGTGACCCTACCGGTAACTTATTAGCATTTTTGAATGAAGCAAGTTAAATTGCTTTGAGAGCGATTAAACCATACTATACAACGAATATATATCTGATCAAAAATAGGTTTTGAGAGAATCTGATTAATATAAATAATATAAAGTACATTCTCCATTTTTGACGCTATTTTGTCTTTAAAATACAAGATTCTTTGCCTTGATTAATCAATCAAATGATTACTCAAAGTATTCTATTGATTAATCTATATAATAATTCAAGTACCCTTAATAACATAAAACGAAGTATATGACGTCATTAATCGGTCTCAGAACGATCAAACTTGCTTCACTCGAAAACACTATACGTTACACAAATATATATTACAGAATATAATACAAACATTAATATAAAATATAAGTTTAAATGTAATACAAAATAATTTATTACACGAAAATGTCCGAAATATTCATATAATGCAGAATTCACTAAAATTCTTTAGATCAGATATAGCTGATAAAGTACAATTAATATGATATTTATGATTAATGATCAACATGTAATTACAAAACTTATTAAGTTTTATATAATGCAAACGATTCTGACCAAAAGAGTCGTTAATAAAGTAATTGATCGTCATTTTAATTAAGAAAAACAGTACTTAGATTACTGGCGCATTTTGCGTAGACTTTCAAAGAAAACATCCGAGAAAATATAGATGAAACTTCGATATAAATCAACGATTAAATCACAAGATAAACCGCGATTTAAAATTGCCAAAATAACGCGACGAATAAATAAATCGACGATAACCGTAATACTCGATTCCAATGTACGTACATGTAATTTTTAGAACAATCGGAAGAACGATATAATTACTATATACTTAAACGAAAATGTTTCGACGGACATTTGGAGCGCTTTTTATAATCGCGTCTATAATATAGTATATCTGTGAATATAAAATCTAATGCCCGATTAATTTTCAAATACGTGATTTTATGAAAATTTCGCGATTGAGAATAAAATATATGTACAGTTTCGCGGAGGATTAGCTAAAACCGTATAAGTCTTAAGATACTGTTATAAAAAAACTGCGTTATCGCCACGTTCAGTGGAGGATAACTGGCCCAACAATTTGACCAGATCTATATATATATATATATGATGGTATATCTAAAAACTATCCAAGATATGCACCTAAAATGGCGGGATGTCCAATATCTGCAAATGATTTCTTAAAAGAAACCACAAAAACTAACGTTAATATCCTCAATGCCTAGAAATATTTTCTTAAAAAAAAAGAACAAAAATTATATTAATTAAAAATTAATTAATAAAATATATTTGTTCGTAACCATAATGTTTGTGAAAGGAGAAATTAAGAGAAACAGGCAAACTGATTACAATTTGAAATTATTTGAAAAATAGAAATTTATACACAATAGCTATATCCATGTTCAATCTAATATTAAGTCTTTTTAGCATTAAGATAAATATAATACTAATATTAATAATAATAAAAGAACACTTCTAATAAAGAGTAATAGTTTTAACAATCCTACTTTTGCTGGCTAAGCCAGCGGGAATCAGGGATTACCGATATTTTGGAGAGCGTGTCCTAATCGCGTGCCCTACTCGCGTGCCCTATTCGCGTGCCCTACTCGTGTATCCTACTTGTGTATCCTACTCGCGTGTCCTACTCGTGTGCCCTAATAAAATGCACCGCATGTTGCTTCCGTTGGGCCAGTTGGACCTACCTTTTGTTGATCCTGGCCATATTCATTTCAGCTACATCTAACCAGAGATGTAGTTTTGACCTCTATCGGAGATCAATGAAGGAGAAAAACTCCTTCCGTTGTCGGCTAATTATTATCGCCGGTGCATGAGCATATTTTTATGCTCATTTATGGTCGTGAGAAATTACGACAGTTTGTCATGCATCATTTTAATATAACTTTAAAAGAACTACTAATAAATTTAATAATTTCATATAAAAACTATAATCTAAAAGTGGAAATTTTTACAATTATAGCTTTTATATAAAAAATATTTTTCTTTCTAATTCTTTCTTGTTTAAATTATATAAATAAAAAATCAAATTACGCGATTAATTGCTTAATTTAAGTTACACGTATGCAATTAATAAGTAATTAATATACAAATAACGATGTACTTACCACAGGGTTGCTCCACCGATGCCCGATGCCTCTCCTAGGCCTCTTCCTCCTCTCAAATTGATTCACACGCACGATACTTTAAACGGCACTCCCGCACTTTTATTAAAAGATTACTTCCGCACTTATACGCGCGATACTTTGAACGACACTCCCGCACTTTCGAATTTCGGCACGATCGAACCCCGCTTCACGTGAGAATCACACTTCGAGCCGACAAGTCGGGAATTCACCGATTACTTCGAGCAAAGGTTAAGCGGAAGCGGAAGAAGACGAAATCGATTGATGGAATCGACGCGAATGGGATTCGCTCGACTCTTGGTCCGCGCCTGCTCCCATCGAGGGCCGACACGAACTTCATTAGGAACGATTTCATACGAACCACCAAGTCTCTATCAAACAGACTGAGCCGGGTTTATCGTAAGGCTGAGAGACGGGTCGAGAAAGAAGATACCCACCTCCTTAAGTGCTAACAATCTAGATCACTCAGAAAACGGGAGATCAACTTCTCTAGCGAGCGAAAAACAAACCTAATTAATACAGCCGACTCCTCAGATGCCAAACATGTTAGTATTGCTACAATGTGCTGTTAGACGGTACAAGAGAAGGGACCCATGAACGACGATTCCAAAACAATCGACCGAACTCTAACCGATTCGGGCCAAACCGTTCGTCCCGGAGCAGAACGTGCCCTCAACA